GAACAACTCTTAATTCCCAGTTTACATATAACTATTGTGTGTTTCCTCTTATATATTTTAATTTTCTTACCTTGTACTTGAATATGTTTAATGCTGTGAGATTTTCTATTTCTGTACTTAGTATTTGTATTTTTACACACAAGGATGCAGAGAGAAGGTGCCATCCTTGAGCCCAAAAGTGGAAAACCTGCTGGCATCTTACTCTTGGAATTCCTTCCTCTCTGAATTGTGAGAAATAAATTTCTGATGTTTATTATAAGCCAGTCAGTTTATGATATTTTGTTTAAATGTCTCTGTTCTTTATTCTCTTTTTTCTTTTTTTCTTTTGTCTTTAGGGAAGGGTCTACAGGGTGTTTAGGGTCTCACAACTAGATTGGACTCCTAGTGATCTGCCTGTTTACAGCCTCCTGTGAGCTGGGATTACAGGCGCATACTCACCACCACGCCCAGTCTCAGTCGCTGGCTCAGTATGCCCCCGGGGGCGGGGCCAGCACAGCAAGGCCCGGGGATCGAACCCCTAGCCTCTGTACCTGCTTGCAAGCACTTTAATCCACTGAGCTATTTGGCCAGCCTTTCTCTTATATCCAAGGCTGACAACTGTCATTTGAACATGTGTGTCTCCCAAAAATTCACATATTGAAAGTATAACTTCTAAGGTGGCGGTATTAGAAATTGAGCCCTTTGGGATATGAACCGATTAAGGATATGGCGCCTTTGTAAAGGAGACCCTGAGGGAGACCACTTACAAGCATACAGAGAGAAGGTGCCATCCTTGAGCCCAAAAGTGGACTGTCAAGAGACACTGAAATCTGCTAGCATCTTGTTCTTGGAATTCTTTCCTTTCTGAATTGTGAGAAATAAAATTTTATGTTTATTCTAAGCCAGTCAGTTTATGATATTTTGTTAAAGCAGCCTGAGTGGACTGAGAAACATCTGGGATAAAATTTCTGTTTGAAATACTTCCTTTGGAATTTTATTGTGAACCAGGCATGGTGATAGATGCCTGTAATCTCAGCACTTGGGAGGATTAGGCAGGAGGATCACTGTGAATTCAAGGCCAGCCTAAATTGCATAGTGAAACCCTGTCTCAGGACGTGTGTGCGCGCACACACACACATGCACACACTATAAAGAATTCTATTGTTTAAAAGTTTGCTGGTGGCAAAAATTGCTCATGATTTGTTTTCTTTTTTTTTTTTTTTTTTATTTTTTTTTGTGTGTGTGTGTGTGTGTGTGTGTGTGTGGCCGGCCAGCTCAGCCCACCAGGGGGCGGGGCTGGCTGGCATGTGGTGCTGGGGGATTGAACCGCGGTCCCTGTGCTCTGCTAAGCTTGTTCTAAGTAGGTGCTTTAGACCACTGAGCCATCTCACCAGCCCTTGTTTTCTGAAATATATTTTACCTTCATTCTTTTTTTTTTCTTTTTCTTTTGGCCATTCTAGGCCTTATATGCACAAGGGAAGCTCTGCCAATCTATACAAGCAGCTCACAGATATTTTTGCCACATAATATGGCCTATAATATCTTTTAGCATATCGGAGATATTTCCCCACTTTCCTAGGAACTTCTGTTTCTGCTATTGAGATAGCTGTGGAGCTGTTCTCATACTGCTTCTATAAGACTTGTCACCTTTGTTAGACCTTGGGTTGTGATTTTGTCTCTTATCCCCTTCGCTTCCACTTCTTTACAGCCAACCATGTCTCAACTTCAGAAGTCTAACTTAAAATCTTTGTACATTCACACAGTGTTTTCTTTTATTGTAAAAATATGCTAAAATTTTTTGGTAAGGGTCTACAGGGTGTTCATGGTCTCACTACTAGATCAGACTCATAGTGATCCGCCTCTTTACAGCCTCCCAAGAGCTGGGATTACAGGAGCGCACCACCACACCCAGTCTTGATTGCTGTTTCAGCGTGCCCCGGGGACCGGCCGGCACTGCAGGCCCGAGGATGGAACTGCCAGCCCCTGTGCCTGCTTGCAGGTGCTTTAATCCACAGAGCTATTTGGCTGGCCCTTAAAATGTTTTGCACTGGTAAGAAACTGAAGCTCTTTAATAACTTCCTGTGTATATTTGGAGCAACTTCATTGTGAGAGCCTTGAAAGTAAGATGTTCTTTTATTGTCTTTAACACAATGGGGCTGTAATTTATATGTGTCACTGTCATCTGCTATGATTTGAATTCACTGAATCATTGGACAGTTTGACCAACTGGTGACACATTCATGACTGTCTCATCAGACAGCTTGTAGCACTTCGCAGTGAATCTTTGACTATCGTAATGCAAAGAAAGACACTGAGTTAGCAGCCCAGGTGTCATCATACAGTATTCTAGTTCCTTCAGAAAAAGCATTAAAATGGTAAAAAAAAATTGTAATTCAGCTAATTTGTGGTATAGCAGTTGTAAATATATATAATATGTACCAGCACTGAGGTACTTACAAAATTTCCATGTTAAAATTTAGAGAATTAATAATTGATAAATTTCATGAATTTAAATTAATAAAATTATTTGATTATTTAATGAACTTTAATTTGAGTGGTAGTAATATTTATATTTGTCAGTAATTAAAATTCAAGCAGTTAATTAGATTTGATCCATTTATAGATTGCATTAATTTTATTAATAAGACTGATAAAAGTGATTCATTTGTGCCATTAGTTGTACAAGCTGCCTGATGCTCAGGCATATACTACCAGTGGCTCAGGCCAGTGTAAACATGTTAAATTAGTTAAATTATACAATAATATATAGAAGATTTCAATAAATACTTATGTTGCTGGAAATACTTATATTGTCCCAATTCTTATATAAAATTGACTCTGCTTCTGCATTGAAAAGAAAATCCTATTTGATTTTCATATATTCTTCTACAACTAGTTCATCTTAATATCACGGTAGATCTTTTAAAAGTGCTTCTCAAACTTTTTTTTTTTTTTTTTTGGCAGAACCGGGGATCTAACTTAGGCCCTTGCACTTACCAGGAAAGCGCTTATTCTACTGAGCTATATCCCCAGCCCCTCAAGCTTCATTTTTTTAAGGGAGCATATTAAAAGGTTTCTGAACCAACCCACAGAAATTCTGATTCAGTAAATCCTGAAAACTCTTGTTTTCAGACATCCCAGGAGCCCATTGTTAGGGCTTATGTTTAGCGCTCCCCCCCCCCACCTCCGCCAATCCTTACAGGGTCACAGGTGGGGTTTTTCAGAGGTGGCTGGATCTGGAGTGTATGATGCTGGAATCACAGGTGTGGAATTACTAAATTAGTCCCCGATTGGTTGGGCCTACATTCTGAGTGTGGGTAACGCAAGGCCCACCAAGGATGTAAGTGTTACCTGCTCAAAGGCCATGTAGCCTGGACAAGATAGGAAAGACAGAAAGAGGGCTGCTGGTGTCACTTGCTGCTTCACTCCATTGTAGCTTTGCTGCTTGCTGACCCAGTAAACTGCTACTCCTCTGTGTGCCACCCTGCCTTGCAGCCATCTGATTATGAACTGTAAGCTCCAACCTGAAACTACAGTGAACCTTTCCGCCTTTAACTTTGGGGGTTGGATATTTCTGTCTCAGCAAGAAGAAAAGTAACTAAGATGCCCATTCAATTTGCTGGAGTGCCGACAAATCTGCTTTGTGACTTAAACAAAAAATTAATTTGTTTTCTAGTGTGGAGACTAAAAGAGAAACCGTGTAATATTTAAGTGTGTGTCTGATGTATTTTACTTAACACTGATTTCAAGGTATATTCATTTTCCAATAAATGACTGTAGTCTCTCCTTTTTGGCAGGCTAGTATTTCATTATATGTAAATAACACTTTTTTTTTTTTTAAATCCATTCATCTGTGGATGTGCATTTGGGCTGCTTCCAGAATCTAGTTATTAGGAATTTTGCTGCTCTAAATAGAGTATGCATGTATCAAACATATGATGTTTTTAACTCCTGGAAGATATCTAGAAGGGTAGTAATTGGGTCAGATGGAAGATTTTTGTTTGTTTTGAGGGAAGTTGTTTTTGGTGGGGGTTTTTTGGTTTGTTTTGTTTCAAAGCCATTCTCCTTGACTTACAAATGCCGTCTTCTCCATCTGTCTTTGGTGAGTGTCTGTGTCCTGATTTTTTTATAGAGGCATATTTTTTATAGTATATTGGCCCTGAGAATTTAGGAATGTATTCTAATCCATTCTTTTTTTTTTTTTTTTCAGATAAACCCAGCAAGCCTAATGTTCAAATAATTAGAGCCAGTACTTAGAATATAAACATATTCTAATTTTTATTCTTTTTGATGATTCTTAAGTTGTGTGAGCAAAATCAGTTTAAAAAGTCTTTTGCAAAAGAAAAATATGAAACATCCCTGAGGTGTTCTTTTTATGTTTGTTTGTTTTTTGGGGTTTTTTTTTTGGGGGGGGGGGAGTTGGCAGAACCGGGGATTGAACTCAGGCCCTTCAGCTTGCCAGGGACATGCTTATTCCATTGAGCCATCTCCCCAGCCCCATTCCTGAGGTTTTGATTTTCTACATACAGTGTGGAGCTGAGGGAGGAGTCCATATTTTTAAGAAATTCTGATAATCAGCTCATACTATTTCATATTTGTGAAATTGTGGTACATAGCCTTTTATCTTTGAACAGATTTATATGTGGGTTTCAAACTAGCAAAAAACATGATAATCAGGGTAGAACACAGAAATGAATGCATTTTATTTATTCTCAGTAACAAAATGTATAACATGTAGTTGTTTTATTAAGAAAGGGCCTCTGTAAATTTCGTATTTCTGGTTTGCAGGTAGGTAATTTAAGTGACTTACATTTTATAAATTGATCAGATTGGATTACAATGAAATCCTAGTGAGTTTTTAATTGATTGGATTCAGGAGAGAATCTTCTTTGGAAATTGAATAGGGAAAATGTATTTAACTGAAGCTAGAAAAACAGAAACTCTAGAAAGTAGTATATGTTGACTTGTAGTGGTGCATAGGAAAGCATGGATCAACAAATCACAACATAAGTCACAGCTTATGGTTTCTCAGTGAGTTCGTTTCATTCCAATAAATAAATGATGCTACATTTTTTATTAGGGTACAAGTGAGTAACTTGAGTACAAATGAGTGACTTGGGAATGGAAAGTAATTCTCTTTAGTATACGTGCTGCCGAAGCGAGCACAGTAATTCTCTTTAAAAGGGAGATGCTCCTTTTGAAAATACAAATTCCTAAAGTATATGAAGGCAGTTTTCTGGGGGTTTTTTTTCATGCAACATACGGATTTTTCTTCAACTTCTCATGTCTCCCTTCAGTGTTGAGTTCTTGGCCTAAAAATTACAGGTAGAAAAACTTGATTAATTAATGAGCCAATGTAACATGACATTTATTTCTGCTTATACCTGGAACATACTGGCCTGTTTAATAATTTTTAAAAAATAAATGTTAAGAAAAAAAGTTAATTGTTAAGTAATGTTAGTGTTAATCTCAATA